CAGCAGGGCGGGTGTGGGCAGCTTCCCCACGCCCTCGGCACCGCCCTGGGCCTGCCTCGCAGCGCACCCCCAATGCCCAGAATCCCAGCAGAGGGTGGGGTGCACACCTGTCCACACCCAGGCCGGGCTCCGCTCAGCCGCTGTGGAGGGGCTGTCAGTGCATAGAACTCCTGGCATCTGCTGGGAAGGGGAAGCCGAGCTACTGTTGGAACTCTCCCACACTGCAGGCACACGCACACATGCACAGATACGCCCACGCGGACACGCCTGCGTTTGCACGGGCATCTACACGCGTGTGTGTGTACACAGGGGTAGATGTCGATTCCCATACAAACCCCTCACCCTGCCCACGGGATAGGAAAGTGCCTGTTCTCCATCGTCCTGCCAGACGGCACCTCTCGCCCCAGCCGGCCGCATGGCCACTGCCACATCCTCGTCCTCACAGCCCTGAATCCAGGTGTCACCGGGCTCCAGACCAGAGCTTCACCGGCACGCGCTCTGCCTGAGCGGAAGCTGCGTGTTTGCATGGATGCAGTTCTTGAACTAAATTACTGTGACTCTTGAGCAAGTTAGTATTTTTTTTAAGACATAATGAGCCCAGCCTGCATGGCTCAGTGGTTGAGCATCAACCTATGAACCAGGAGGTCACGGTTTGGTTCCCGGTCAGGGCACATGCCCGGGTTGCGGGCTTGATCCCCAGTAGGGGGAGTGCTGGAGGCAGCCGATCCATGACTCTCTCATCATTGATGTTTCTATCTCTCTCCCTCTCCCTTCCTCTCTGAAATCAATAAAAATGTATTTCTTAAAAAGAGACATGGGGGTGTTTCTTTCTTTCTCTCTCCACATCCCCACATACAACATGCCCAGCAAGCACACTGGCATTCTCACTGGCTGGGATTTTAATCCGATCCTGCTGTCTTCTTTTTCCCTAAGTATAACCCATTACTCTGGGAATAAATATTTGGGGAAAGATAGATCTAAATACTGTCTCAATTACATAATTTTAAGGAAGGGGAACTATTCTAATTACAGCGTCCTTGCTCGTGAGTTTAAAGTACTTAGACTGTACTGATCACTGATTGGAAACCACTGTATCCTTGGAGCTTTCGCCTTGACCTGAATAAGGCTTAGAGGCAAAGTCTTCCCCGAAAAAGAGTAGGATCCTAAGCTGGGCACGGACGGGCTTTTCTTTTTGACGTTTCAACATGCGACACCAGCGTCCACAAAACAGGAGCGCTTTGGGTGCAGCCGGTCCAAAGCTGACGGACACCAATTCATAACAAGGGTCAAGGTTATGAAAAGCAAATAGTGGCAGGGGACAGAGGGAGAGTCTGATGCCATGAAACCTCAGGTATCGTTCCCTAAAGAAATGTAACAGACAGGTGATGTACTGCAGAACTGTATGCCTGAAAGCTGTGTAGCTTTATTAACCACTACCACCCCAATAAATTCAATTTTTAAAAAAAGAAATGTAAACTATTAAGAGAGGTCTGTGGGAATTTCAGCTTCTATTAGGAGAACTGCCTTGAACTGACAATGACAGCCAGGTGCTATGGATAGTGGCACAGCCCCTCGGGAAGACCCAGAGGCACAGGAATACCCCCTGTGCCTGCCTCAGCACTCAGACGGGCCCTGTCCTGTTTCAACCTCACCCACTAGCCGCACGACCCTCTTTGCCGGGAGTGCCGGCAGCGGCAGCCGGCTCCTGGAGGTGACTGTTTGCAGGGCTGGTGACATCTGACCCCTCTCCGACAGAGAAGTGCAGGGCAGAGGTGTCCCTGGAAGTTGGCGCCACTATAAAGGACATGGCTAGCCTTGCTACACTAGAAACTGAAAATGCAGCCGTAAAATACGAGTGTCTCTAGGCACATCCCCCATCAGCCCATACAATGCAACGCTTCTCGATTTTAACCTCAGTCTTTGAGAACAAATTGAGACGATACCAGATTCCCACAAGTAAGATGCTGAATCAAGCACGTACTGACACAGTCTTCTCAAATTTTGCAGCAGAGTCACAATTCCACTAGGGGGAGCAAGACGGTAATCTGTCACCTGGGAGATGGGAGTACTGGTAAATGCTCAGGTTGTGTCCTTAAGAAAAGCAAGGTGGCTGGAGGATGCACTGTATTCAGACATAAAAGATCTCAAGCTCCCGAGAGGGTTCCTAGTATAAGTAAACACACTCGCTCTGTACAGACCCAAAGGAAAAAAAAGTCCCTCCTGATCCCTGAGGGCCCAGGCATCATTCTCACCATTGCAAAACCCAATCCAATCATTCCCTCAATTTCACTTTTTAAAAGTGCATCCGACAGGTGTGTGTATGTGTGTGTGTGTGTGTGTTTCCAGAGAGGAAGGGAGAGGGAGAGAGAGCTAGAAACATCAATGATGAGGGAGAACCATTGATCAGCTGCCTCCTGAACACCCCACACTGGAGATTAAGCCTGTAACCCGAGCATGTGCCCTCCCCAGCAATCGAACTGTGACCTCACAGACGCTCAACCACTGAGCCATGCCGGCCAGGCGCATCCAACAGTTGAGGAGTACAGTCCATCGTGGGTTCTATGGGGAGAGGGCCCCCTGTATAGAGTATCCACGCCAACCTGCAATTAGGCCCTGGGTCCCTCCTCCCAAATCCCCTAATGAAACCACAAGTTTGATTTTTTGCTAAAACCTTGTGCGGGGCACTTTACAATCCCTTTGCCAGAGCTGCGTGCTCTTTACTAATCCGTCGGCTCCGGACAGTGAGCAGAGTGACAGAGGCTGTCACGGAGCATCCGTAACCACCGTCAGTGGCGAGAGGTCCAAGAAGACGCCCCAGCCACACGTGCCAAATTCCTGGCACGCTGCTCGTCTTTTACTGAGTTGATTGGGTCGTTAAAGACTCCAAGTATCAAAGAAAACATCTTGCATTCGAATCAGGAGTGGGCGCTGGAACTCAACCAATAGCCAAGAGGGGGAAATGATATTCCGAAACATCTGTCCATACTTGAGTATTCTGAGTGCCGTGTGTCATGAGAGCAGGCCGGGCGGGCGCTGGTAGTAGCTGATAGCTGATGCGGCAATAATCCCGCCATATGAAACCGTCGGCTTCTCTGAACATGCCGAAACACCTCATTAAGTCACAACTGGGTTTTGGATGAGGCAGAGCTTGCGTTTTTACAAAAGGATAATAAAAATTTGTTCAAGTCACTAAATTTAATGGGCAAAACTTGTTCGCTCTATCATGTGGGTCCCTGTGCGATCTGCGAGAGCGCACCATGGAGTGCTTCCTGAATATAGATCACTCGCTACTTGGGAGAAGGTCCCT